AAGTTGACTTCTTGTGCTCTTCCTTACCTAAGACCTGTTTGGTGGTTCTTCAAAATCTGTCTCTTTGCTAAGTTCGGTATTCAAATCCTGCACTACCTTCCTCATTTCGTTTGTCTTCTCTTGGATCTCCCTGAGCTTTTCTGTAATCATTTGATTATCAGGCATTTCCTCCATTTTGACTTCTTTGGAATCTGTTGGAGGTGTATAGTACCTTGTTTTTTTTCATATTTCTTGTGTTCCTTCATTAGAGGCCTGCATCTGGTGGATCAGATTTCACTACCACTTTTATGGGATGGCCTTCACAGTAAGCATCTTTCTCATGAAGATATTTTGGGGTGTCAGTTTATCATGTAGTGTTGGCTTTGATCCTAGCTGGGCAACACTGCATAGTCTCTACAACTTCTTTGGCTGTGGTCAGTGAGTTTGAGCACAATGTGCACACCATATCACAGTCAGAGAGATCCCGCATCTCTGGGCCATGAGAGAGCGGGGACACTCCAATAGTTCAGACAGGTGATATAGACGGCAGACTGTGTGAGGCGCACAGTGTGTGACTACTCATACGGTGGGAGTGGGGGCCCCTGTCTGGAGATGTTGACCTTGGCTCTGCTCCTGTCAAAGGCCTTTGGCACTCACAGTGAGCCTGAAGCCTGAACAGTGGTGAGGGCCAGACACTACAAGGGAGAGGTGGTGGCAGCAGCTGCAGTGTTCCCTTCTGTGGTGCTCACATCCAGCCCTGTCAGCATTGTGTGGTCAAACAAGGTGCAGAGGAACCATGTGGGTGGGTGGCAGCAGGAAGTATGGTTTTCCTTTCTGCTATTATGTAGAAGTGCCTGCCTGGAGAGGTACCTTAGTACCTCTGATCCTTGTATACCCACAGGCAGGGGAGCAGCTGGGGTTTTTCTCCCCCTGCAGRCTCCTTTAGCGCTAATGCCCACCTTGGGTGTGGGACATGGCCAGAGCAGGGTAAAGTTCCTCTTGGAGCCCCCTTTGGCCATACACACCTGGGACGGGGCAATAGTCAGAACCAACTGAGTTGCTCAAGGGCTCTTCAGCATGCCCCTGTGTGCAGGGCAACAGTGGACTCTCAGTTCCCACTCTGCCCTGTCAGAAGCTTGTGTGCAAAGCGAGAAGAAGGGCAGTAGGATCTGTTAGGTACCTTCCTTCAGTCTTGGCATGAGTCTACCCATAGCTGGGCATGCCTGTGGTCTCAGAGTGCAAGCTCTCTGGTCTCCTGAGTGGTGCCCTCTATTCCCTCCATGTCAAAAAACCTGCTCCACAAGTTTGTAGAGATGTGAATGCTGTGGGTCCTGGAATCACACTGTGAGAAACCACTGTTCTAAGGTTTGTGGGGGAGGAGTGAAGGTCCTGGAAGAATAGTATTTCTTCTTAAAAAATGGATGAACAACAAGGGCAGAAAGGAAATATTAGGGAGGGGCTAACCAAAAATGGTTTAGGGAACCCTCTCCAAACCAATAGGTATCTTCTAATTCCGTTACTGTATTCAGACATGATTCATTTCTTATATTTTGGTAGACAAAGTTGCCTTTAGGTTTCCACAGTTTGCCTTGTAGTCTTCTTACCTACATGGTCTTTCTGGCTCCTTTTATTAGACTGCAAGTTTTCAAGGTCAAGGACTGTGTGTTGGTTAATTTTGACTTCCAAAGTGCCTATTACAGGACTTCTCAGAAATACAGTTTGCTCTTTGAGTCAAATTCCTTTGTTTCCTTTTTGCACGAAGTGGAAAATGACTGGCCAAAGCACAACTCCAAATTCTCTCTCCATTTGTCAAATCTAAATTTTTTTTTAAGAAAATAGTAACTCTCTGAATTCCAAGTGTAAATCCAATGAGTGACATTCTATCCTAGCATATAGTTGGTGCTATGTGAGTGACAGACACCAGGACAAATAGAACAGAAATGGAAAATGAAAACTTTAGCTTCAGGGTCCAAGTCTGCTCAAAGAAAGCAGCACAAATACCAGGCTGCACTTACATCCCTCCAGCAACATGAAACAATTCATGGAGGCAGAGGAAATACAGGGTCTGCAGGAGGAGGAGTGGGGAAGGAAAGCTGCTTCACTGTGGTGTAAAGAAAAGCACCCCATCTGAAGATGACTCATCAGCCTGAGGTTAAGGACAAGGCTTCTAAATGAATTGCAGAATAAATMCCTAGAGCTTTTATTTTTCCTTCCTGGGTGGGTACTGTGAAATCTGCAGCCTTKCTAGGCTCTGCATTTCTTCTACTGAAGTGGTCTCAAATAACTCATTCTTGAAAGGTCTGGTGCTCTTAAGGAACCAGTGTGATGACATCTCCCTTAGAGAGCATCATAGGGCAAGTTCTCCTTGAGCCTGGCCTATTGGGGATCAATGCCCTCCTTTGCTTCTGGCAAAATGTGTGCATGCTCCCTGACACAGCCACTTTCCAGGGGTGCTGAAATCAACAGCCATCTCCACTTAAACTTGGAAAATGCTTCTGGCTGGGTGTGAGGTCAAACGATCTGATGCGCATTTAAATGAATGTAAAAGGAACACAAAGCCAAAAATATTTAATGACAGGTAACAGTTTTTTCCAATGCATAGAAGCACATTATAAAATGACACTTAAGTGTCAATGCATCCATTTAATTTTACCACTCTGTAACGGGGTCCTTTAATCAAAGTAATTTGCTTGAAAAAAAATAAACACATGTTTTTCAAATGTCTACTCTGCTCTAGACAGGTCTAAAATGTATTTATAATCGAACAGCCTCTATCTTGCCTGTTCTGATCAACAGAGCCATGGAGCGTTAGGTTCAAATGAACTGTGGAACTTATGGATATAGATTCCTTGAAAGCTTCAGAGTAAAATCTCTGGCTTCTTATGAAAATTTGATTTCCTTGAAGGAAGAACAACATTATCAGGTACCACAGTGGAAACATGAAAACCTCATTTGGGCTACCATGGTCACTGGATGCAGTCTGATAGAGGGTTGCTACAGTGTACCATGCAAGCTGCTTTGTGTTCAAGTGATGTACCTTGTGTCTTTCTGCCCCTTATCAGACTACCTAGTCCTATGTAAATGTCATAAGATGAGGAGAGAGATGCGGACACTCCAGCTGCAGGAGCCAAAAGCTATTAGATGGCAAATAAATGAAGTACCCAGAATAAAACCTGAATCTTAAGAGAAACTAACCTGAAAGCAACACACAGTTTTCTATCTCAAAAGACTCCCCTTTCCTTTAGGGGCTGATCTACTGCTTTATTTTGGTAGATTCCTCTAGCTGCATTCCATATTGGGAACACTTTGGTGGATATGAATTTTTGTTGTGTGGCTCTATCTTGTTCATTACAGGGTGTTGAGCAGCCTGGCCTAGGAAATTCCCCCAATGACTGTAACAATCAGAAGGTAAAAGCTAACCCACCAAGCTTGGATCCATAGCTTAACAATAACCTGTTGACACTCTTTGCTTATTGAGTTTGAATGACATTCCTACTATGCCTTCATGGCGTTTCCCCACATCCTCCTGGAAGAGACTAACTTCAGGAGAAGAACATGAGGCCTATAGCAGTGGGGCTCCTGAGGCACAGACAATGTTTGTGGTCCCTGAAGAAATGGTTGAGTGGGCCCCTGGAACAACTGGTAGGTTCTATCAGTGTTGTGACAATAGCCACCTTTGAGATAGCTGTAAAAGATCCCCTGGTGTACACATTTGAAGGTGTCAGAAGTTGCAGAATGGCTTACTGTACATACTATAAGTTAAGTGAAGGGGCAGCTTGGGAGAGAAGTGCTTCTTCCCAAAACGGAGCCATGATAAGAGCAGCGAGTGACATAGGATGGCCCCAGCAGCAGGTGCAATGGAGAGCTGTTTGATGAGGAAGCAATGAGAGGAGACCCGGCGACATGCACACAGCATCCTGGGGAACTGCAGTATAACTGGGAAGCTGGGGGCTCAAAACATGATAGTTAAGGCAGCAATGGAAATATGATCTGTTCAATATTCACCAACCACAGGGCAGAACCTGAACATGTGACTACCACTGGAATCAGCTCAGGTAAGAGGCCTGGACCAGATACCTCTGGCTTGCCCTGTGCACTTGCTGGCTTGATTCCTCCTGTTTCCTTCCTAGGACCTGGCACAGCCTACACAAAAATGTGCTAAAGGGATATTYTTCTTTAATCAAAAGGTTAAGGACTCTCTTGATGCCATCTACTTATTCTTCTTTCTTATTCTATACTGTCATTTCAGGATGTACCTTGGGAATGTGTGAAAAAGGGAATGGCCCTTTGGAGGGGGGAATMAATTTTGACCAGCTGACACTGGATAAGTCAATTTTGGTGAGTCCTAACTTATTCCAATTTGCTGGACACTGTCTGCAGTTCTAAGGGCTGGGTGCACTGTGGCATGAACAMACATTAAGTGTCCCTGTTGTCCTAGAATCCCTACCATGATGTCAGAAAGAATCATAGAGCTCTGCATTTCCATAGGCTCAAACTGGTTTGGGCTGGTTCAAACTAGTTTAAACCGGATTATCTTTGCCCTGACTTATTCAGACTAGCCAGGTTAGGTTTTCATTCTACTTGAAGCTAACCAGTTCAGTCTGTCTTGAACCGGGATCAAGTGGTTAAAAAGCAATGCCACCTAGTTTGAACCAAGCCTAATACAAATGGACCTCTGTCAGTGGTAATCCAGGGATACATCTCACATTTGAGGCATAATATTCAAAATGACGTCCTTCCTCATTATATCAACTTTTCAGTCTATGATTATATGTACTTTCCTCAAGACTGGTTAGTGAGAACAACCTAAATTGATAGTGTTTATATATAAAAAGACTCCAGTGCACATTAGAAATCCTTTTCTGTTTAAAACTGTTGGCAGGGTCATAGATGAGCCCTGCTTATAATATTTCAATCTACTCTCTGACCTTGGACTAGACACAGGTGTGGGATGATGCTATAAACTTCTCAGATGCCTGCAGTTGCCCATCATCCCCCTCCAACCTTGCAGATCTCCTCACCTTGATCCTGCTAACTGCTTCCTGGGCCTGCATCATGCGCACATTTTTGGAGGGGGTTTTGTCTGAGAGCAGCTGGGTGGAGCCAAGGTAATTGGCAGCAAAAATGATTCCATCGATCAAGTCTTCAGGGTCGCAAGGTCCAGGAACTGTAACACGGAGAGAAGAGTGGTGAGTGAAGCCATCCCGAGCAGGCCTGCTACATCCAGACCGTGTACACCCTTCCCCAAGCTCCCTGATGGCAGAGCTGGTCTAAGGCATTGATGACACCCCTCCTTTCCACACAGAAGGCACGGTTTCTTAGAGCCTTCTAAAATGATTCAAGTATTGACTTAAGTCTGAAAGAAAGTCTAGTGACAAGACTGAGTTCTTTGGGAAAAGGACCATGTCATATTCATCTCTGTTGTGTTTCAGTGCTGGTCACCTAATTGGTATCAACTAGATGTCTTCTGAATACATGGTTAGGTGAATGGAAGGCTGCCTTGGGTAATGTCCATTTATAGCACTACCTACTACCTGTCACCTATTCATATCTCCTTCTTCCCTTTAGTCCATAAGTGAAGGAAACACATTTAATTAGGAAAAATGGGATGTTTCAGAACATCTGGATTTCTATGATGGCTTCTAACCCCAAATGCTGTGAGATAGATAACATTCCTCAAAGCCATGGTCTCATGCTGTTAGGCTTGCCAACTTAGAGGCCATAATGCCCACAGTCTTGGCCCACACACTGATCAAATTTTCTGTTCTCACTCACCAGCCTAGTAAATCAAGTCTTATTTTAAATGGGGGCATCAGGTTCTAATCAAAACTACTGTAAACCACTCCCAAATTAAGGCCATATGTATCATTCTCAGCAGCTGCCTGGTTCCCACCCTGGAACTCGTATGGCTTTGAGGAGTTGGGTTATTTATGATATGTGTTTTACCTGTAGAGTAGGGAAGCCCAGCTCTAAGGTAACACAGACAGTTTTGGACCCACACTATTATCAATATAAAGTAAAAAAGATTGCCAGTCTTCTATGATAAGCGCCTAGAGGATGGATTTATATTGTTACTAAATCATTTTTTGTCAATCAGAGGAAAAAAAATCTCACCTGGGATAATTTTAAGAACCTTCCATCTATTTTTAGAATATAATGTTCAACCCATCTTTCCTTTTTCTGTGGGGCTTTGACATAGCCATCTCTGATTTAGCACTATTCACTRAAAAGGGTCCCTTTGCAATGGCAGTGAGTATGCAGGTATTCTTAAAAGAAATCTAAATAATACTTGAATCATCACATAAGTGCCTAGCAACAAAGGCACATAAATATCAGACCTAAAAAAATTTTAAGTTTGAGATACGATCGCATACCATTTGTCCTTCAGGGAAATTGACTATAATTGAATGTACCTATCTATCATGCCCAGGAAAAAAAAAAGCCATATTTTTATAAATTCACTTTAGGCTTGGTGCCAGTATATTTAAAAATATATATATATTTTAAATTAAAGCTACAATGATCCTGCATCAAAGAATCGCAGGTTTTGTGGTGGCATTTTAGAACACAGTTTTCCATTCCATGAGGCCTGCAGTTGCCCTGTGAGTCAAGGAGCACATCATGGGATGCATCCTCTCACTACTGTTGGGCCTGGAGAGATGAAGCGGAAACTTTCTAAGGTGTTCTCATGGAATTCCAGAAATTCACAAAAATTATGCAAATAACTTAGATTATTTAATAAGGAAACAGGAGTTACTAAACCAAAACTAGGATCTTGTTCTGGGCTTGTGGACTGAGGGCTCATGAAGGTTTATGAACTCTGGTAACTCAGAGCATCCTAACAGCTCCCTCACAGGGTCCAAAGGCTGGGYTTGGACAACTTTAAGAAGATGGCAATTTGCCTTACCTGAAAAACCACCTGCCATCTACAGTTAGAGCATCAGGGCCATCCTATAGCCAGAGACAGACTCTGTGAATGAGAAACTGGAATTCCATTTGGGTGGCTTGACCTCAAATGTCACAAAAAAAGGGCACAAAGCCACAGTCTAGTCCCAGGAGGCTTCTTGAATGGGTTTCCTTTTGCACTGACTAACCTGCACAATCAGAGGTGGTTCCCTGCGGAGTCAGCCTGCCCCTGGATCACAGCCTGGCTTTGCAGCTGGCTAACTGCATCATCTTGGCCCAGTTACTCACTCTCTTGATCCTTGGTTCTCTTTTACCATAACAAGAAGATAATAATAAAACCCACTTCCCAAGACTGATGTGTGGATTCAACTAGTATTACATGCAAGGTGCTTAGAATAGTTCCTGACCCAGACTAGATGTTCAATAAATGTTACTTGTCCCAGCAAGAGGTGGGAACCACTGGTAATGTCTTATGAAGGGGACCAAAATTTCTTCCCTTAAATTGAATTATCTTTGAGGGATGCAAGAGGTACACTGGGCTAGCAGTAGGGAGACTTGGGCTTCAGATCATGACTAAGATGGATGAAGCCCAGAGCTCACCTCCACCCTCGGGGTTGCTATCCACATGAGGAGCCAGAGAAGAGGGTTTCTGAGAGCTTCATAGCTATTACACTCTAAGATACTAAGAATGTTAAGTCTGTGTCCCTTCTTCCCACTATTTCCTTATCTCCAGTGCTCGAAATGCCCCAAATGCTGAAAGATTCATGAGCTTAATATTCAGTGCTCTGTATTTTGAGCTCTTACCTTCAACGTAGGTTGGGAATGAAGCCAAGCTTTTTCTTGACTGTAATTAAGACAAAGAGGTTTCAAAAAGGGAAAAGCATGATGTAATATGCATCAACACACCATCCATGCATCATGAAAAAGAAAYACATTACTAGTGGCATTTGTTAACCAGTTATCAACCATTTTTTGTTAGTGTGGAGAAACATGTGYATTTATTATTCAAGGTTACCTTGAACCCAAAATAGGCCATTCAAAGTGTTAGACTTCTATGAAATGTGGGGTTTCAGATTATCAGCTTAAATAATATCACACAGACCAAAATCTATAAACAGCAATAAAAAGGGCACACTTTATATTCTCACACCTCTGCATTCCATGGGAAAAACAATTGATAAAAGCACCCAAAACATAATTGTACACACAAATGAAGAACTCCCTGGGAGAAGTTTATTTTGTATCTAGGCTGCAAGGATCTCTGTGCTAAAAATGTGTGTTAGATTTTTTTCCCCCTCATCTTCTCTTACTGATTTCAGTTGAAAACTGCATTATTATCTAAGTCATTATTATGTGTTTCCTTTAAGTAAGAACATAACACAGGAGTAAATTAAAAGCCCTGGCATTTCTTATATTATTATCTCCCAGCAGAGGCCAGTCTTCYAACAGCACAGTTGGAAGTGGATATGAGAAACTAGAAACTTCTAGAACCTGACTTGGTAGCAGTATAAGTGTAGCACTTAGAGGAGCAACACTTACCACATGCTCCTTCCAGAAGGAAATGTCCTAGCAATAATTACAGAGTTGGAAATTCACTTCTGCTTCAAATAGTGACAGAATTTGTAGCTGATAAATCTGGGGCAGGGCTTAGTTTCCTGAAAGCATTGCAGGAGAGCTCATATTAAAAATAGGAATCCTTATCTAGGAAAAAGGTAGTTTGCATGGCTGAGATTTTTATTGCTGAGAATCTCCAGGTATGATGTGATCATTTAAATATATGCCTTTTAGAGAAGGGGTATCATGCACAGCATAGCTGCTCCATAGATTGACCTCATAAAAGGTATGTGTCACATGAGAGAGCTCTTGGTGAGGGCTGGGATGTCACAGGAAAGAACTCACATGCTAGCACTTTACGCGGTGTCCTTTACTTGGAAGAGGGGAATGCAAAGATATAATTGATTACAATTATTAAACTGTTGTATATTAACTAATGTTAATTGTTATGTGAAAAACTGGGTGTAGTTAGTTGAAGACTAACTCAATTCAGGACAATGGTAAAAGGCCACACAAATCACACAGGGAGCCAACACAGGGCAACTTTTCAAGAAACCTACTGCAGATGGGTTCATACCGATGGCTTCTCATAGCAAAAGTGGGGGGATTTCTTGTGCATCAGGAATGAAAGGTTATTGGCTGCTAATGTATTTATGGAAAAACAACACCAAGTATAAGCCAGGATAGGAGATAAGAACTCCAATTCTACTTGTCCAAGTCAGGCCAGCTGAGTGCCAATAGAATTCTGATTGGTTTAAAGATCAACTCCCACAATCGGTTATACAAATTTCTTCATAATGGCCAAAGTCTTAAATTACAATTTCCCAACTATTTTCCTGCCCTCGTGCCGAGTAGCAAGTGCGCAGCAGGATTGGGAGTTTACGCTGCTTAGTCTCCACATACATCCAGGTTGCCAGTTTGGATTTTCTTAGGCTATTAGGATACTTTCCTGAATGCAAATTTCAAAGATAGTGTCCAAGTTTTAGCAGATGCTACAAGAAGAATTTCTTTAGTCTATGGCTATAAAAGCTGCTGTTTTTATTTAGAGCTACAATGGTAAGCATTTGGTACATTTACTTACTATTTATGAACTCATGACTAGCTTTCTTTGGTTTCTGGGGTAATCAGTTTAAAAAAAGTTTGGTGAAACGAAATACTCTCTAATTATTGCACACAAGGAGGATTTTCATCATTATTTCTAAGGATATGCAGAAGCATGAGCCAAGTCTTTGTAGAAACTGAAAAACTAACAAATTTGCCTTGCTCATTATATCTGATACCTAATCAAAGGCTGGATATTCAGACATCTGATTAGCTCTTTGTTTTCTCACATGTGGACTGAGATGAACATCAGCCACCCATTAGCACTCAAGAGATAATAAAGCTGCATTCAAGAAGCTAAAGTCTGAGATCTTTGGGGTTTTTCTGGGGCTCACACAAACCATGTGCAGAGCCTGGAGTCTTCACAATTAAAATAATTACCTACAAGCTACCTTGTGTTTGCAGTTTGTGGCCTCAGGTAAGTTACTTAACCTCTCAGCTTTCTCAACTAAGAAATGAAGGCAATGATATCCACTTCACAGAATTAACTTCAGGATTAAATGAGATACTATCTGATTTCCTCAGTCTGGCATTTAGAATACTGTACATGCTCAATAAAATGATAATGCTCGTTACTGCTGTTATCATTGCAGCTGTCATTCTACTATTTCTCACCCATTCATGTACTATGAATAGAATATGAAGCAAACAAATGGAGGAACCTGTCACAGTAGCCTAGGGTTAGAGGACAGACCAGAGGAGGACAAAATATATTTCTAGTCTAATACTAGTGCCATTTCAGAAAAGGTTTGATATAAACATTAATAAAAAATATGCTTCTCCCTCCCATGAATAGCATATATATTCCACGGCACTTTAAGGGTAAACTTTGGCTAAGACTCCCTTTTAAAAGCAATCTGCCACTCAAGTTAAAACAGATCATCTCAAGTTCTCTCCTGTTGCTGATAATTTTATGTTACATGCAATGGAAGAACCCAATCATTCATTATATGGCTCACCTCTTTGACACATCTCTGCAGTGTGGAAGAGGGAGCATCTATATTTGGAGCTCATGCACAGATTATTGCGCAGGTCAGTATTTCCGTGGTGCTGGCCCACAAATAGGTGGGATGACAGTTACCTGGGTGTAAAGGGCATTGGGTTCTGCCCTTTTGTAGCCCCAGAAACCTCAGAAGGAACAAATAGCATCTTCTCATTTAATATGCTCTGCCAGAGCTCAAAGAGTTCTCTGTAAGTAGGGATGAACATACAACTTGTCCAACAGGGACACCTTAGAGCTGTTCCATCCAGTGGTGCCCAGCCATGTATGCCTTTTAAGTTAATGAAAATCTATTCAGTTCTTCAGCCCCACTGGCCACATTTTAAGGGAGGTTAGGGACCACCCTACCCAACAGTACAGAAGTAGAACATTTCCATCATTGTAGAAAGGTGTACTGACAATCAGGTGTGAACCTGAACCATACTCCAGGTAAACTGGGACATGTGGTCACTGGCTTTTAGATTTCACCTGGGCCTGAACTWAATGGGTATTTAAGAAACCAACTCATTTCCCAAATCACACAGCAACTGTCAATCCATGGTATCAGAAGGCACCTAATGCCAGAGGAAGGATTGTGGTACTTGGATTTTCTGATAGGGTCCAGTGTTATCCAATAGAACTATCTACAAGGATGTAAATGTCCTGTGACCTGCTATGTCCAATATAGTAGCCACAGGTGGCCATTGAGCATTTAAAATGTTAACTAGCATGGAGGAAGACATAAATTTTTCATTTTACTCAATTAAAATATATTAAAAGTAATTAAAATAGACAACCATGGCTATCAAATAGGATGGAATGATTTTACCAGATGAACTATACACTGGAGAGGAAAAATCCCTGGGGTAACTTGGGCCAGTTGTGCCGCAGGGGCTGCAGACCTCACAGAGCAGTGTTAGAATAAAGCACAACGGGCCAATGGCTGTGGAGGCGCATGGTGCCCTACCTCTTTATTTGTGGAGGCTTCCGCGGGGTCACTGGGATGAAGGGGAGTGCTCGATGATTCTGCACCCAGGGGTGAGGAACTGCCAGGAGATGGAGACTAGAACACAACAAGAGGATAGACAGCAGTGAGAACCCAAGGGATATGGCAACACCCAGCCCAGGACAAGGGGACAGGCAGAGGGGGCAAGTGGATTACTAATGATGGGATACTTCAGTGGAGAGGAACCCCTTTGGAAAAGAGCGGACTCCAAGTGTACAGAACAGGCTATCAAATAGGTTATGTCCAGGTTTGCTTTTCAGTTCCTACCATCCCTCCCAGGAGTTTTATAACTCTAGGACCTTTTCTTTCCCCTTAGGCTAACTATTAAAAGAAAATGTAGAAAAAGTTGTCTATCAAACTGAAAGTCCTTAATGAATAGAGTTAAGGGTATTATACAATTTTTTTTTCTTAAGGAAAAATATACATACCTAGGTTAACAAATGGCTTACAAAATCATGCCCAAGATACTCTGAATGGAAAAGAAAAATTAAAGCCTGCAATTTTAAAGAGGCAGAGGGACTGATTTTGATGACTGAAAAGCACATCATCTGTGTTTTTCCTGGTCAGTTCATATTTCAAATATATTGTCTGACTTAATTCAGAGAAATTTCAATATCCAAACCACATACCCTTGTGTGCTCTTAGAATGGTTCAGAAATCCTTTGCCAAATGATTGAAAATAATGTTTGGGGGGTGGGGTCAGGCCCCCAGGCAGGCTTTGCTAGATGTAAATGTGAAATTTCTGAGTCAGTGCCCCAAATGCAGCAGGTGCTCCATAAGCATATCCTGAGCAAATGACCAAAAAAAGCCAGCAAGCACAGGCCTGGAACAAACAGGATCTGGAAACGTGTCCCCGATGATATGAGAATATTTCTTCCTGCTCCTGAAATCTTGGGAGCTGAGGGTATAAACATCTATATGTTAGATGGCCAATATTCTGCAGCGATGGCCCTCTGAGAGGGAGTGCTGTGCTTCCTGGTGTGGGTGATGCCTGACAATAGGCATAAAACACAGAAGCCACACAGGAGGAATTCTCTCAGGAAGTACAGGGATATGAGCCAGGGGAGGGAAGTCCCAGGCAAAAAAAATCAAACTACCATTGGTATTTGCTTGAATCCATGTCTGATCTCTTGCGACTGGCCCCTTGGGAAGGTGGAGGCCAGAGGCATCAGTAAAATACCTCTGCACAGGAAGGGAGAATAGCTCACAAAGCAATGGTGCTGGTGAGGACAGCATGTTAACAGACCAGGGGATCTCTCACATTACTTCACATTATGTGAAATTTAAAAAGAAAAATCTTTTCCAAAAAGTCTGAATTACAGGGGGCAGTAAATGAACCAAAAGATGATACAGTAAAGTGCTATTCAGATCAAGTAGTTCTTTGATCTGAGTCTACGGCTGTGAGGCTTGGGTTTGTTTCCCATCACTCCATATATTACCCAGTTCTGGGCAGGGAGGTGTGGACCAATGAACCCCTTAAGTAGTCACAACAGAAACTGGACATTGCAGTAAAGATAAGAGGGCAGGCACAGAGTAACAAAGTATCCACAGACCCTGGTCACAGTAAAGCAGTCCTTAATACCTTTGAAAATACACACAGAATTTTTCACTTGGTACCCACGAAGGCTGGTGGGTACTTGGTGATTTAGCATTGTTAGGTCTATTCAAAATTAATGTAGAAAAATCTTTATGAGAATTTAATGCCCTTAAATTTTCCCCAGTTTTTCAAATCTGAACAGCTTCCTTCAGTATTTATGGCTGGGCCACCCTGACAAATAATTTTCTTTGTCACAAAGATTTTAAGGGTCTAACCCCTGGGAAAGCTAGTGCAGTGAATTTTTTAACTGCTTGATTTCAGGGCTGGCAAATTCTTCATTAAAAAAATCAATCCCCTGAGAGTCCCCTATTTCCTATTTATTTTCAGCTCCAATATTCTAAAAACAGATTCCTTATAATCTTGCAGGCACCAGATCTTCTTAGGATGATGTGAGAGCCCAGGTTCTCTGGACAGTGGGTGAGGACATGGACCAGGGAGCTCACACCCCACAGCTTAGCTAAGTGAACCCCAGGAAATGCTGGGGAATAAGAACTAACAAAACTTGGGGGGCACTCTTATGGACCCACGCCAAACGTATCAGGGACTACTTCCAGAAGACACCAGATGATGTGGCCTGAACACAAAGCTCAGATGAATCTCTTTCCATGGGCACATGTGACAAATGACCTCCATCTACAGAGTCCCCCTCCACTCTCCTCCAGTCAGTATTCAGTTCAGAAGTGCTCATCTCACTGCTTTCTCAGTCTGAATTCACTTCCTCCCTGATGGCATGTGCCATGATTTGTAATTATCATGTATATAGGTATGGCTCCCAGCTCCAAGAGCTCTTCAGTGATAGGGATTTTGTCTCCTTCAACTTATCACCCAAGTGCCAAGCCTTGGGTCTGGTAAACACTAAATACTCAGCTGCTGCAGGCGCTGAATAAATGATTTCAACTTGCATGAGAAACAGATGCCTACTGATTTCTGGATTAGTTGTTGGTAGTCAGTGGCAAGCCCCCTTCTAATTTTGTCCCTCCATTGCTATGTGGAGAAATCCTATCTGGATTTTGTATTAGATAAATGGCCTTTACCTGTGAAAACTCTAACCCAGGCCCTAGTGAAGCTCTTTTAAAAGAGAGCCATCTCAAAAGAAGAGGACCCCATCTAGCAGAAGTCTACAAATCATCACATACCACTAGTGACCGAGTCAAGGGTGGACAGGCACCTTCAATCAGACCCAGCCTCCATGTTGAAATAAAGGAATTCAAAATTGTGCTTCTAAAACCCTTTCCCTGTTACCTCCAATGTCTACCTCTTTAAAGTGGAAGAAAAAACAAATTGGATAATACTTTATACTTTCAAAGAATGGATGAGAGACAAATTTTACCCAATAAAATATTGAAAAAAAGTAAAAGTTAATAAAATATATATATATTTCTGTAAGGTGTCTCATGCCTTCTGGGCTGTTGGGTGGATATTCAATCTTGAGCAAATGAGACCGAGTGGAGACAGTAAATGTGGATTAGGGAATTCACATAGGTGAGTGCTTAACAAGGAGAAGTGTTCAGGATGCCAGTTTCAAGCTAACCTTCAATGATGCTGTTGTATATAATTATGAGAGTTCAATACTTTGTATTCTGCAGATGATGTCCTAGCAGATCCCTCACAACTGTGATCCAAGTTTTATTTCCTCTGCTATGGCACTCCAAAAAGTAGAGCTCTTGGCCTTAAGTCCATCCAAGACCTGGGCAGAAGTGGCCTAAGGATGCAAAAGCAACCCTGGGGAAAGCTGATTATTCATTTTAGTCCTGGATGAACAGCCAGCTCCTAGTGGCAATAAGTGTGCTACTGTGGTCAGGGTGAAACAGACACAGCTCCAGGGACTCTCCGGCTAGGCCTCTGGGGAAGGAAAGTGGCACGCAAAGAATTACTATCCATTTATTCCTGCAGAAGGCATTTCGGTGTCTACCTATATTCCTAACACTGGGCCAGGACGCAAAGAAGGAGGCAACGTGCTTCCTAAGAATGAGAGGAAGCCGAGAGGTGAAGACAGGACTGTGGCCTGTGGCTAGGCTATCAGTCTGTGCAGTGGGGACTGAGCTGGGAGTGATCAACTCTGCAGGAGGGTGTGTCTTGAGCAGTGTGTCATGGGAAAGGCGAAACTTCTGCTGAATCCTGAACATTGCGCAGTACTCAACAAGGGAGATGGGAGGGAGGAGGAATAGCAAGGCTCCGGCTGGGCAGCCAGGGACCAGACTGAGGGTAGATGGGGAAGTGTCTGGAGCCTCATCCAGGATCACAAAGGCTTGAAAAAACTCTATTCTCTGCCTAGGAACTGATTTTTTGTTGAGTCATTGGCCTGTTGTCCTCGCTGAAGAGGCCTGATACGGGGACTTCAGAACTGTTTCCTGAGTTGATTATCTAAAGGAGTGAGGGATTGAGGTTTTACTATGGCCTCTTTCCCTTTCCCTTAATCCTTTTCACCCCTTTGAAATCGGATGGGGGAAAAGAAAGATAACCATCTGAAGAGTGAATGGGATGATAATGATAATACGCCAAAGCTAGAGGTAGAGGGCCCTGCCCTTTTCTAGTGGATAATRGACCCTGCTTCTCCAAGAAAGGCCCAAGGACTGGGGCAGGGCTTCCAAGAGCAAAGCTGTGATTCGGCAAGATGGACAGAGATCTTGAGGGACTTGTGGGGACGTTCTAGTCAAAAGCCATAAAAGTGAGCTCTCCCCAGGCCATTCACTTAGTCATCCAACACTGAAGTCCTGACAGGTCTGCCTGTCACATCCCTGCCTGACCCCAGGGAGCTCCCAGTGTAGCAGGGGAGACCCACAGGTTACAAATACAAGGTGTCCTCTGCCAACAGTGATCACTATCTCAGTCCCTACAGGAAAACAAACGTCATAATGACACAAAAACACTCACGAATGAGCTGACTTCTTACAATGCTGGTGTCCACCTGAAAAGCCCTCCCCCATGCTAACATCTGTCTGAGCCAGGTCTTGGTCAACTGGTCTCCTATTGACTGTTAGGACTACCTGGCATTGCAAGGTCAAAACAATGCAAAAATATAAAAACAGAAACAGCCAAGTTGAGAGTAGTATAAATAGTACAAAAATAAGTAATAATAAATAGGTAGCAAAATTCCATAAAGTTGGAGAAGGCAAAGTTGGAAAACTGCTTAAATAGCTACTGACAGTGGAGAAGTTGGCATTACCGGGTAATGCTGTGGCAGAGGGAGCCAAGAGGGCTGGACAGAAGTGCCCTGCGCATGACTCTGCCACAGAGAAGAGTCAAAGCAGCAGAGAAGAAACTATTTTTTGAGGACAGTGAAAGAGGAAGAACTTTGGAAATCAGCAAACTGACAGTAATACTAAATAGCATGGACACTCAGGCAACTTAGAAGAACAAAGCCATTCCTGACTTCAAGGGCTTCCCAGTTGGAAATGAGGAACCTGATGCTATTGGCCAAAGGCACACAGGAAAGTTCCAGCAACTCTGGCCACAGCAG